CAGTTCTATTATGTAATATACTTTTGGTAGCTGGTGCTAATAAACAGACTGATGACGATTACACGTCGATAGTGAGTGCCTCAAAAATTGTAAGCGCCACACTTCACGCTGCCAAATTTGTTTGCTGTTTTATTAGAATAACGAGATTAAGTGGTTGTTGCCTGAGGGGTATTCAGGTGACAAATGCCATTAAGGACTAGCTACATTTCCCAGTGAAAAGTCTGCAGATCGCATACTTGCATAAGCATATTTATTTAAGCCAAGTGGGTGTATGTGTGTGTGTAATTGTGGCGAAGAGTTCTTAACCATTACTTTAAAAGAAAACATTTCATTTGACTGCATTCTGCCTATAAACGATGAACACTTTTATCGCTTTAGTTCCTAAGAAGTCAAAAGTTTTTCTATACATATACAAGTATATATGGTAAATGTATGTGTGAGTAGGTCTGTGTGCAAAGTGACGACTTGTTGAAAACTTTTTGAAAATAAATGTAGCGCTCCGAAAAGAGAGAAAAATTATAAAGTGGAAGAAATGCTCTTCGTAAAATGTTAGTCAATCCGACAAGGCGGCGGCGACGCCAAGTCATATCCAAAGCAAACAAGCCACACAACACGCGCTCACACACGAAAGCAGACGTGTTTGAAGTATGAAAAGTGGAAAATGCTTAATCTGAAACAATGCATAAAGTTGGCAAGAATTTTTTCACTTAAATTTAACTTTAACGCGAAAAGTTTTGTGCTGAATCGCTGGCCTGCAATTGGGTAACTTGCACAACAAAGCCATAACGAAGTCGACGAACGTCAAAGTGAACCCATAAAACCAAATAAGTTCAGGGGTATGAAAAAAGTATGCATGAGTGTGTGAACGAATGAATGAATTTGGAATGGGGAACGTCAAATATTATCACGAGTTTAATTCACTGCAATGCCGACCTGTGCCCAGAGTGGCTGCTAGGGCAAAAGTCGAATTGCACCATTGCACCGAGTTATGATGCCAGACACGTGTTTGTTAGAATACTTGATTTAGCTTGAATGGATCGACGGACAATATAACCGTAAGAAATAACCTCAGTCAGTCTTACAATCATTTACATAAAAATGTCTTTCAGTTCAACATTTTTATATTCAGATTTCATTTTATAATGTTTTGTTTGACCAAAAGAAACAATCAATTTGTATAGAATTCCCAATTCTGATTAATCGACCCAGTAGTACCTGATTCCGTATATGTATATCGTTCAAGATTTGAGATATGTCAATAACTTCAGTTGAATCCGTGATAATCAATTTATAAGTTTAGTATTTGCTTTAAGATAAGCTTTTACCCAAAGATTTGGATTCGACTGTTAATGTATGCTGATTCCGGACGTACTATATTTAAAATCAACCGAACTTAGTTCTAAGCTCAACTTGCCTGAGAAAAGTGTACCAATCGTTTAATTATGACCCAGGAGTTCCGTTAGTTTCTAAATGGATATCATAATTAGGAGTTTAAATGCATGCAGTCCCATACCTCGATCCAGTATAGTGGCATTGGATGTGCCGGCGGAACAGACATAAAGTACCCAATCAAGGTGGAACTCTTCTGATGTACATTTGCAAGCGCTAAGAACGTGGCATTCAGAGGCCTATAACTTCATATCCAGTTGTCTGAGCAGAAAAGGCGTAAAGCAAAGGAAATGGAGCAGCAATTCACATACATTTAGCTACTTGACAGAAGGCTCAGTGACAAATAAAACTGCAAATCGCTTGAAGAGCTCAAGACTGAATAGAAGCAGGCATATCGTCGGAACTAAGGAGTAAAGAAGAGAAGAGTTACACATGTAAAGGCATACATACTGCACGTATGTGTGTATGACATAGGGCACAAGGCTTTAATCCGCAAGCTTTTGAAATAATGCAGACAACTGCAGACAATGTGTCCTTGCCATGCCGTACGAATTCCGATATGTTTTTTTTTTTGGCTTGTTAAAGGCTGTAGGCAGCTTCGCGTCCTTGTTTCTATACTTTTCCCACACATCTTCTTGAAAACGTTGGAAAGTGTGTGGCTGGCACTAGAGCGTTTGCATGATGGTTGTTGCGCATTTCCCAAGATTGCTTTGCCTACCCGGCCTGTAGTGAAGCATCAAACTAGTTAAGAAATATATTAGTTTACAAAAACGAGTTCCAAATTCCAACTAAATGCCAAATCATCAGACTCATACCAATTTGGGAATGCTTTTTAAGTGAGTTTGTTGATTTGAATTCAATAATTTAGAGCATTAATTCTCCGACAATTGCTGTATGCTTTTGAATTAATTTTTCACATAAGACTACAATTATAAGCAATAAGGAAGGTTTTACTGTGTATTTATAAATGTATTTTCTTTAGTTTCTCATCTACAAATTAAAGACAGTTATATTCCTGCTTATTTGACCAGATATACTTTGTTTTGCCTGTATGGGCCTGACATGTGAGAAGTGTGATTCCGTAGTACATCAACAGGTGATATGTACCAATTGCTTGTAAGAAAAGGAAAGGCAGTCGGCCGACTAGTTGGCTATACATTTGATACTAGTTTGGGAGTAGTTTACAGCCAGTTGCGTTGACTGTGGGGCGTTTATGCTCCGATTGCCTTTGTGAATGTTTCGAAGCGAGAAAACGTGTGCGCTGCTGTTATTTCATTTAAAGTCAACTTGGCGATTGTATTCACTATTTCCCACATTATCGTGTTTTCACAATTTTTGGCTTTATCTGCGTGTGTTTTTGTTGTCAGCAACACTCCATTGCGAAAATATCTGTCTGCAATTAAAGTCACATCAAGTCGCATGTCCGGGCATTTGACGTCACTCGTAGAAATATGTGTTGAAATTAAATGCAGTTTTTATGAAACCCGATTTGTTGTTGTGCCTCATCTGTGCAAACGGGGTTACATATGCCAAAGGTTTTATACCTTTCATGCGCTGCGAATTCAAATAAGAGTAATATCGTACTTTGCAGAAAATATATAATCTGAAAACTTGGTTGCATACTAGTTATATAAAGTATCACTCTGACTATGGTATACATTATCATATTAAACGTTCCATTTCTTAATGATTTTAGAAATATTGGACCAACAAATCATTTGAAAGTAGCAACTCGAACAAAAATCCACTATTTTTTTGCCAAAGGTTTCCTGCCGTAGAACTGAATAATAGCGAACAGAGAAGTGGCGAGTCGAAAGTGGCTTAGAATATCATGCCGTGTTTGGTGTAAACAGAAATCAGCAACATTCGTATAATGTTGCCACGCTATCAAATTACAATTTAGGAAAAGAGCGGATTGGGTCATATGCGATAATTTGAGACCAATTCCATCCAATCATTCCGAAAGAGCTTTAAAGAAGAAAAGGAAAAGTAGTCGGTGCTCTGGAAACAAAAATTTGAAACAACGGCCTAGAAGCCGTTGAGAACTTTTTATCCTTCATTTTTGACTTTCGACAACTTAGACTAGAATATTTACTACAATACTATTTACTATATCCTGAATAGGCTATCTTAAGTTTAACACAAGATTTTTAATACCCAGAAGGAAACGTTGGGGACTCTATTAGGTATGTACATACGTAAATGATCAGCTTATCATCATTAGATTTAGCCCAGTCGTTTGTCTATCTGTATATAGGTATGTGACCTATTCCCTCAGTTTTTGAGATATCGATCTAAAAGTTTGCACTCGCCCTCGCACCTCACCAAGAAGCTGTTTATTTGTCGGAACTGTCGATATCGGATCATTATAGCATATAACTGCCATACAACTGAACAATCGGAATCAAGTTCTTATATGGAAAACTTTTTTAATTGACACGATTGCTTTACAAAATTTTCCATGCCATTTCCAGCGGAAAAACCTCCGAACAAATGTACTGAAACATACAACCGACTGATCGAAATCAAATTCTTATGTATAAACTCTTTTATTTGTGAAGGGTATTCTTGCGTTTTATCAATGATAACGGTTTTTCCTGTTTTTTTAATTTTTTTATTTATTTAATTTAAAGTAATTTACCATTAAATGATATGTAAAAACATAGGTGAGCACACCTAAGCGCCGCAGCCCAATCATTATTTGTTTATTTTTATTTTTTTATTAGGTTGACAACTTCGTCGCCGTGAAATCAACGCCAAAGTGTGAGCATCGTTCGCTCATTTCCCAGCGACATGCACATTTATTGTAACATAGATAGGTCGAGCTGTAATTGTTGTTTGCATGTCTGTTCCCTTGGTCCCTCTGAGATGCTCGAAAGCATGAGCATACATTACACGAAGGGGTTGTCAACCCACTCTAATACACACACACGCCGTGTGCGCCTATTAGTATGGGTAAGGCGCTTATACTCTTACATTCACATAATGCTTGTTTCATTTGCACATACAGACAAACACGTACTTCCCTCCATAGCTCGTTCAATTGTCGCTTACGAGTTGTAATACGGTTGTACAATTTGTCAATGGACACTCTCGCACTCACACGCAAATGGGTGTAAACGCGCTAGTTCTCTGAGGTGCAGACTGCATGCAATTCTGTTTCTGTTTGTATGAATATATTTGGGCATTTCTCCAAAAATGTATAAACATAGATAGATACATATGTATATGTAGGTATGTATGCATATGTTCCTTCGCCCACTCGCCTTCACTTGTTTTATCCTTTCATTTCCGTATATCTGCGTTGATTCCTTTCAGCTTGTCTCCTTGTGGCCTTAAATGTCCGCTCTGACTTTGAGTGATGTTTTAAATTATTCGCTTTGAGATGGTCTGCGGCAGTCGCAGTTGTGAGGCGTTGAGTCAAGCACTTCTTTAACACCATTAAAATTTAATATTCTAATAAAAGTAGCATGTGGATGTTTAGTTTTTGCGACAGGTCAATTTGTTGTTGTAGCAATTTGCGGACAACTAGAGGACAAGCTGTCAGGATTTCAGGAAATTCATTTAGCTTGTATCTTTCTAAATATTTCATGTCTTTCTTATCGTTTCAGGCTATTTTTGGCACATCACAGATCTTCACTTGGACACATTTTACTCAACGCAAGGCGATGTTATGCACAGTGAGTAAAAGAAATTCAAGATTATTCAAATTAATCACACTGTACAAGTTTATTTTTACCAAGTAAGGAACAAACAATATTAAATTGTTTCGCCAAATCTGCATTCCATTAATGTAACCTTCATGTACATGCAAGTATGCGAAAAGAATTAAATTCTATAGATACTGGTTCGGCTGAGAACATCGTATCACAGCAAAACACATATTTTTTGAAAATTTCAAATTTATTATTCAATTTATTTAGTGGTTATCGACAGAATAGAGCTGAGAACAAGAAAAATGCGCTGGGCCATATCCGGAGAAATCGGGAAACAAGGGAATAATTAGAAGCCCAATGATACGGTGAATTGTTTCAACAGAAACAGAGCTTTCTCTTCGAACAAGGCCGCCCCCGCGATTTCGTTCTTCAAACATTCCGATAGCGCATATAATCGTTGTGGAAAGGAGGAAATGATTCGATTGTTTAATATTCACATTTTTATCAAATTTCCATTTGTACATATGTATATGTTACGAAGAACATTATACGCCCATTTGATGGCAAAGTTACATTCGATCAGGCTTAGCCTACGTCTCACCTGAGAAAGTGTTAGCTGATGGGCTCTTTAAAAATCATCGGAAACGAACGGTAAAATCAGAGCGATATAAGAAACGCGAGTACACTTTACTCAATGCATTTGCTTCGATAAGCACAGAACAAATTCTTGAAATTTTTATGTTATTTTTAATATGTAATGCTCCGTTGAACTTGCCATTTAAACTTCACTCAAAGTCAAGCGATCTACTTAACTGGCCGTTTCCGGAAGTGCAGACACCTTTCGTTTTCATTTCATTTTGGCTCCGAAGTGTCCTGCAGATTTCTGGCATTTGTTTGCTTTCGCAAATTGTTATTGTTTCAATCAAATTAAAATTTTATTTCTATTGCGAATTCCACACAGCACTTTGCTCTTTTCATTTCCTCCTTTCTCTTTGATTTCATTTTCCGTCCTGGTCGCTTCACTCTGCCCCGAGTTGGTTTATTTGTATTAGTCTTTATTGCGAGTATTTGTTATTGTTGGCTTCCTTTTATTTCGGCTATTTGGTTGTGGCCCGGTGTTCTACGTGCTGATTTGAGGTGGACTTTTCGGGTAAATGGAAGAAAGAGCGGCCCCGAAGCGTAAGCGGGGCCACGGTTAGCCCAACAAAACTGTGCTGGCTATTAGGACAATGAATGGGCGGTCATATAGCCCTCGGCTTTGTCAGCAAAAAAGTGTCTGTTGTTCGTGCCTGCAACTTTCCAATTTCATTTTGTGGTTGAAGCAAAAATTTCTATACTTTTTAGTGCTTTTAATTTTATTAAATCTACTTTTTTAATCTGATTTAGGAAATGCTACAGCTAGAGCTACAGTAGAGTTTTTTTGCCTCACCTGAACAGCTTACGCGAAGACTTCGTTAGTTTCAGTTTCAGTTCTTTTGCGTTTATAATGTCAACTAAAGCGCATTGTTTGTTTTTCTTTTGTGCAGCGATTTTTGTAGTATTCTAAAACGATATTTTCTACTTACGCTTTTTCAGGTTGCTGGCGCATCGACGGTCAATCGCCAAGTAGTTCCATTCGCTCACCTGGTCGTTTTGGCGATTACTTTTGCGATAGTCCTTGGAGTCTAATTGAGTCGGCAGCGAAAGCGATGAAGACTCGACAGGGCGACAATGTCGAGTTCGTTCTGTGGACAGGGTAAGTAGGGAGCTGGGAAAAGTGTGGGTAGGTACGATTTAAAGTACAAAAAGTTTATTGTGTTTACCCAGGTATTTATTATAATTGATATTTGTGGGCAGAAGCTCTTTAAAGAAATTGTGTAAAATGTAATTTGCTTATTTCTTCTTTTTTTTTTTTGCTTCTACTGTGCCACTATAAAACTTTGTGGCATTAAGACGCAAGGAAAATTTGGTCAAGTTCTCGTATGACAAAAGCGAACCTAGTTTAGTATTGTGTCAGTGTGAGATTTTCATCTCTTGCTCTAGCAGTGCATTACATTTCAGGCCCCAATATATTATATATGAACTAGAAGTTTTATCTCAACAAAAGTTAGACAATCAAGTAAATCGAGATGAATTTAATGCAAGTGTGTGTCCGAGGCACCATCAAAGATAAGATCCATCTATTTATTCATCTCAAGCATACTCCGAGCTGAAAACTGATGATGAGATAGATCCTAACAGTAATTGTGAATCAGCTAAATATATAATAAAAAAATTATTCCCTCGTGTTGATATAAGAAGTAACAAAAATTTCGCTCATGCTTTTAAGAATTCAGCAAAAATAATGAACATAGGCGAAAATTTCAGCAGAAAAGCAGGTACTTTAGTGTCATCCACAATAACTCGTAATATGCAATAGTTGGCTCAATGCCAAAAACGCTTACAAGTATTTACTCTTTAGGGCGATTTGCAGCATATTCTCTTCTGCGTCTTAAAGAAAGACAAAACATTACTTTCTTTTTTGAAGGTCAACATATCTAAACATACAAACGAGGCCAATAAAAAGCAAGCATCATATATTAAAGACACACAAGCGAACACATTTATTGTTGTTGGGAAGAAAGGGTTACAACATAATTTATACTTGGGGGGGGGAATCATATCTAATTAAAACACTCCCAAGTGATACATTAAAACAAACTTTCTCACACACACTTTTTATTTCAAGCAGACATAAAATATCTTTTTCATTATATCGCGGCAGACGCTATAAGAAAAGCTAAGAAGCTAGTCATAGGCGCTAAATTCTCGCTCAAGCGATACATGATAACTCGCAGCGGAAAAATTGTGTGCGAAGGTAAAAGAAGGACATAAAACATACCGGAGCGCAAAAATAATTAAGATAACAAGAGTTTTATGTTTCATAAAAAGTACGTTTCACTTTTTGCTAACGACCACCGACAAGGTGGCCAACTTGGGCGTTGCATGCCAGCGAGGATCTTTGCGTCAGGTGACTCATAAAAATTATTGCTGGCCCAGTCAAGCGTGTCCACTCCTCTGAAGCCAAAGCGCTGGGCAACAAGGAAGGACATTCAGACGTAATTCACTTGCGGATGTAGGAACAGGCACATCTGATTGCTCTTGCAGGCTCCAGCTGTTTTGCTACTTGTTCCTGGGACTCTGCTGTAGTACAATAGCTTACGGATTCCAAATGTATACATAATTAAGGCTTCTAATTTTATATACATATACATTGTGTTTTTATTTTTCACAGAATTTTTATTTGACTTCTAAATTAGAGGATACACTTCGTACTGCATCTAAATGGGTTAAGCAAGAAGCATTTCCATCATTGTTAATTATGTCTTTCATTTGATGTGAAATCAAACAATTTTCAAAAAAGCAATTAACCTTTCAAGAGTGCCGAATAACTGTTTTCTTGTATTTCCGACGGTCTGCGAGTCATTGTTATTTCAGCCAAAGAAAACTATTGAACACCAATTGATCACAAATAAATGTACTTATATCTCTGTGCCTTGTAGCACTAGGCCTCTATAAATAAAGGCACGGCAATCGAAGCCATATTCAGGAAGTCATACTCATGCAAATAAAAGTATACCTCTAAGCAAGATTACATATGTACAAACATGTTTACACGTATGTGTGTGTGTTGCTGAGATTGATGTAATCTATACCGAAGCAATTTGTTAGTCTTTTACAGTAATGCCGACTAGCTGGGATTGATTTGTACATTGCTTTGGAATTTTGTCATGCCAACAGCAATAGAAACAACCACATGCGATACAGTGCACGAGTAATCTAATAAGATAATGTTTGTTATTTGTCAGACTTAAGCATTAGTAAGTGCCAATGCAATTACAATGACAAATATCGACTGGATGGGTGCTTGACGAGCGCACATAAAGCACAATAACCGGATGTGATAGTATATGTGAGTACGCATACACTCGCATGTACACACCAAATGCAAACAAATGTTGCTGCCAAAGGGCAGTCAATAATTGCACGGGAATGGAAAACAAGTTAGTTGCAGACTTCTTCAATACTTCAAAATTGCATTCATTAAATTCCGAGCATTCTCTAACTTCGATCAGCAATATTTAAATTGTTGATTCATTATTCCATTAGAATCTGTATCGCAAAATGGCAGACGACTAATCGTGTGTCGACCGCTCGTTAATGTCTGCCACATTATTATGCTTTGTCATTGATTTCTTTCCACTTTAATGAGTTCATATGTGTGGGTTGTTCGCCTCACTGCGAAGGCAATGTGCGCTCGTAAGTCAACAGTTCAATCATTCACTCCGCCATTACATGCCCGCCAGGCATCAGCACAAACACTTGCTTATGATGCCCTCCCACACACGGCTTCTTTGCAGCAAAGCACGCAATAGTATTGTATTTTGCTATACTTAATGACTGATTAATTTGCTCATTTTATTCCGCTTTTCTGCGCCAATTGCTAACATGTTGTTTTTGCCACTTGCTGCTAATAGGACATTTGCCTTTGGGTGACATTAATTGGCTTCCCAAGTATTTATGTGTAAGATCCACTCGACATAATCCTATTTTCAATTGAAAGACTAATAGGCAAACACAGTGCGCTGACAGAGAAGCGGATGGCTGGCGGCTAAAAACCGCCACACACACACGAGCACAGGCTGCAGACTTTTCCCCGCCAACGCCAACAACTAGTGTACGTTATTTATATGCGAGTAAATATAATATAATATATGCAAGTACCCACGTGTGTGCAATGCTTTATTCTGGAAATTTCAATACTGTTGAACGGTTTGACACTGTTTATTATTCCAACAGCTGACATATTTATTTTACTTGCGATAATACACATATATGCATAATTAATGCGCCTTAATTTAACGTCATTATTATTAGAGTTCTCGGAACTATTTAATAGCAATAAACCTCTTGAAACCTTCTAAATATCATTCTAAAATTAGCTAACACGAACGACTGGTCCGATTTTGATGACCTCTGATTGAATTCTACTCTGTTCCGAAGAGCGCAACATCTATCCAACAAACTCACTGTTGAAATATACAGACGGTACAAAGTTCTATCGGTGCGGTCCGTTTCCGGTGTTGTAAGATTCCTGTGTTAATATGTGAACGCTTCAAAGTCGTAGAAAAGTAGTTTCGAACGATTTTGATTGCGTATTCTTAGTCTAAAAATATTGGCGTTCCAGGAGATAGACATTATTGTGGTTGAGCACAGTTATATTTGGAAAGAGAAGATTCCATGTTTATTCTCAGCTTAGTTGAACACTAGTCTATTTAAATATCAATGAGGTTTCTTATGTTCAAAACTGTTATTTATTTTAAATATTGTGAGTACTATAAAATATAGGCAGCCTTAATAATTCAAAAGCCAGGAAAAACGCAAGAAACTTTTCGTAAACTTCGCTTTTTCGCATTAACTGCACTCTGTGAAAACGACACTGTGCTCGAAAGTTTCGTATTTTCATATTTTCTTAATCTCGCACGAGTTTAGCATATCACACCACATGTCACACATGTAACTCGAAGACTTTTAAAATTTACAGTTACTATTGAATACCATACAACAACACCGGATGTAAGCGGCAAGTGTGAAGGAATCGTAATAGGGTGTTACTAGCAATTAGGTTTATTGTCTTTTGGCTGCTTTTGTGTGCATTTGGCATGAAATGTTTAATTACGGAATTCTGCATTTACCAGCAACGACGATAATTGCCTTGATCATCAAGCAATTACCACAATTGCAATTTAATGATCACCGTTGCACACGCATTAATCACACATACACACACTCTCATGTTACTAACATGTCTATAATTGTGCTCTACGGCATCACACGGCAAAATTAATATAATCTATATTTTACAACACACACTCATGTACATACACTGTGTATGTATATAATTATGGTAGTGTATATGTATTGGTGTTGTAGTATTTTTGAAGTGCATATGTGTTTAAAATTGGGACCGTATTAATTTGCAGTTAAATTAGGCTTTGGTTACTAAAATGTAACTAGCCACTATTAAATGGGCCAAATTCAATTAGTGCATAACGTAAGGCACCCGAGACAAAATTTAATTATGATTAATACACTTACACGTACTGTATGTGTGCGTATGTGGCTTTTATTAATATTGCTATTTAATTCAAATGTCGAATGCTCTTGGTATAAACAACAAAAACAAAGTTTAGTATTTCCTAAATTCTATAATACGGACACTAAAGTATAAACTACTCTTATAACTGTATTTTATTTATTAATTTCAGCGATGGCTTATCACACTCGGCTCTGAAGGAGTCCGATACGAAGAGGTTGGAGATCCTGCGCAATATCACCGATTTGCTGGGACGCACATTCTCGTCGCAATTCGTGTTTCCAGTGCTCGGCCATGAGGACGGCACAACAAACTTTCGACACTTGGGCGAACTATGGCGACATTGGCTGCCATCGGAAGCCTTGCATACGTTCGAGAAAGGTACGTGCCGATTCCACATCTACATTTGGAATATATTTTAAAGACGTTTCATTACTGAGCATTCTTAAAATTTGACTCTTCTCACGTTTGACATTTCTTATAATAACACAGTGCTACGAAAAAAATATTTTTTTTTGTTGCCCTCAATATCTTAGCAAATTTTCATGGTTTAAAGTGTTCAAATACGAATTTACTGATGAAAATATTAAATATGCGCTTGATTTTATAATAATTGCAGTTACTAAATATTGATCAATTATCGGTTTCTGTGACGCTCTTTCTCGCATACAAATAACAAGTGATCTCCACTCTCGGGCTATTTACCGAAAATTTGTGAAAAACTCCGTTTCAAAGTGGTTCGCAAGCCCTCAGAAACAATGGTGCCACGAAATTCTCAGATATCATTACAATCCATCAGTGAAATTGAAAGGAAGGGTGACACATCTATGCCAAAGTTATTTTTTCAAAATGAATTCAGAGTTTAATACGCGATCAATTTAGGAATAATATAGCAATTTGTCAAAGCTTTGGACGTGTAAGGACTTCTTTCAATTTCTTTTGTAGAAAATTTCTGAAGCTTGGTATGGAAAGATCGAAAGGTGGACTATTTGTTGGTCCACAAATACGGCGATTTATAAAAGGTACAGATTTTATCAAGGTTATGACTGTTCCGCAAATTGAAGCCGGGAAAGGATTTTTATTGATAATCGATTTTTTTCTAATATAAGATAAGAGTATTAAGTTAGACTATATCCGCAAATATTTAGATACATTTTCAGATAATTTAGGAAATTATAGGGAGAAACAGAGAGAGCGGTTCCACTAGCATCTAAAAATTATGGAAGAAAGGTATAAAAGTTGACGGGATCATGCCATTATGACAGATTATTGCTGATCTTTAAAAAAAAGATTGCCGACTCAAAAATTATAAAAGTAAAGCTCATAAATGACGATTTATTGAATATAACATATGTTTTCGACATTTGTCTCTCCGTTTACTTCGATGTGTCCTTAAACAAAACTGGCATCTGTTATTTTGTGTCATGTTTTATATTTTTGTAATTTAAAATTAAAATAAGGATTTAAAAATAAACAAGTGCAAGTCTTACAAAATCATTGATAGTCTCATGAATACATCCCAAATCAATCTTATAGCTAGGGCAAGAAAACATTGTAGACCTGTGTTATCTGAACATTATAGAAATTAAAAATTTTGTCAATTTTCTATATTTAAAGAGTCATCTTCTTCCTGAATTCAGTTAGTGATCGAAGCTGAAGCGGGTGATTTTAAGAGTGATGTAACAAACAAGCAAATGACACACTTGTATATATGTACATACCCAAACACATGAAAGTATATAAGTAAATGTATAGATTTTGCACCTTCGTAGCACAAGCTGGTGTCTTGTTGTAATCAGAGCGCATTTCGCTTCAGTAAATATTGATTTTCATGCTGTTACCTTTTACGCCGTCTGAATGAATAATGAGAAGGCTGGAGGGAAACGAGAAACGAAACATCATCACACGAAATTCTGTTATTGTTATTCTCGACAAGCCTAAATACCTTGAAAATCTATGCCAGTCAGCGCAATCACATCGATTCACCTCGTGCATGAATGGATGCGACAGCAGACGGTCGACATGGCGTATACGTGATCGTTGCTATTGCCGACGGCATTTATGAAACGGCAGATATTTTTAGCATGACAAAGAGGCAGCAGCGCAACCGAAGTGCTCACAAAGCTGTCTTTGAAGATTATTACAATTTTTTTTTTTTGTTTAATTTTTCATAGTAACCGACAGTACTGGTTACATTTATAGGAATCAGTGCAAAATGAATAATTGGAAACATTTTCGGTTTTAATGTGCCACTAAGCCTGTTTCTCTTTCGTAGGTGGCTACTACTCCATTGAACAGACGAAAAGTCGCCTGCGCATAATTGCGTTGAACACGAATTTCATGCGGCATGATCACAAGACCCCGCCTAGTCATCTGGCGGCGGTGCGGCAGCGCACTCCAATATCTGGAGGCAGCGGCGGTGATTCCGAATACAAGACCTACTACTATCATCACGGCTCAATACACCAACACCACGGACATTCATCGAGCGACTGGATGACTCATGGCGGCGGCTACGGCGGTTACAGTGGCGGCCACCATCGTGGCATGAATGCCATACCAGCTTTGAGTGTGGGCGAAGGGGAGGGACGTGTCAGTGCGCTCTCCGAGTATGAGACTCAGGATGCTGAGAAACAATGGCTCTGGCTGGAGGAGGAGCTTATCAAGTCGAAAAATAATAAAGAAACGGTGAGTCAGATATTTAATGAAGAAAAACTATTTCCTTTTTTAAGTAATTCATAAAAATTATATATCACTCGCCCATTCAACTGCTAATACACGTAGCGATTATTGTCCTTTCGGTTGACTAATCACCTGACTTATCGGTGTGAATAAAATCTTAATAAAATTAGGGATGGTACTTCTCTGTGATAGCATTTGTTTAAAGAAGAAGAATAAAGGCTGGTTGTACAGAACTTTATATATAACAAAAGAGAAGGTATAATGTTGTCATCGAATTTTCTCAATTCTTTACAAATAATATTTTATGGCCTAATCCTTATAATTATAAATCCCTTTTGCAATTAGTTGAACTAAATTTCGAATAACGAATAAATTATTCTTGATACACTCGGGCCAACGATTATATTCCACGTTCAATGTAGCTTAAAGCAACCAATCTGGAATTAACTAAAAAACCGAATAAATCAAATTCAAATATGCGCACTTGATGCAAAGAAAATCACACTCGTTATACTCTTCGGCACAGGTCTAGCCGAATGCTGCGAACTGCCCATCGGTTTGTACATCTCACCGTGCTTTCAAATAATTGCATTGGCCATTAACAATCATTTGCATAACGGCATTATTACGAACCAAACAATGAATAAGTATTTGCCAACTTTTTATTCGGCTTGGTCCAGTGGGAGCGCGGGGGTGCCAATAAAAATACAAATTATGCAAATGCAAACACATTGAATACATTCAATCAAATATGCCATAATTCGCGCGAACTTTTGCGTTGTGGTTCGCAAATAATTTCCCTTTTTAAATGTAATTGCTGCATTTAAAATGCGAATATTAATTGCTATTTAATTAACCTTTGTAAATTTGTTTCGTAATTGAGTAAATAGTTTTTGCAGATTTTTATTGAATTAATAACGATAGTTTATTACGGTACTTTGAACACTTATACATATGCAAGTAGATACACATATTTGTTTGAATATACAATATTGCGATGTGAGTGTTTATATACTCTGTCATTTACGTGTTTGTTTATTTGCATTAATATTGTATTATTGTTGTTTTTGTCATGAGCGTATAAATATACTCATGGCACATGAACAAAAGCCCAGCTGGTGCTGAGAAGCGTTGGAAGACCCACTGAGCCATTTAGCACAACATATAGCTCACAATTTTTTGATATTATAATCGCAAAGGTAAAAAATAAACCAAACAAATTTTAAATAACAAAATTTCTATCACACGAAAAAAGGCAACCGAATAATAGCACATAACATCGCTAAGGTATATGTTATATATAGTTGTTCGATATTCTTCATTTACACTGTCATTGTTAAGTACATAAGTATTAGAGAACAATTCTACAAAATTAGGAGCTTTAAGCTTTTTAATTAAAAGCCGGGAGCCAGAAAGTGAAATAAATAAATAATCGGTAGTACCGCAGATATGTGATATAGTTGTCCGATCTTACCGATTCCGACAAATGATCAATAGAATCTCCTATGTATTAAATTTCATTCGGATATCTCAAAAACTTGCGAAGAAATTTTTATAATCCCGAAAAAAAGAAGTTCACTTAAAAAATCGCTGGCTGGAAACCGGTTTTAGACCCATATTTTCTGAAGCAGAGTTATTTAGAATGATCCGCAGAACATTTCCTTTTTTTCCTTCCTGCAAATCAAACCGCCCTAATGTGTAATTCTCAAAAATTCTACGCAGCCGTGATTAACTTAAACAATTTTGATATTTAATTGTGATCAACTGTAGCTCACATCTGGGAGAAGAACTCTAAAAATTGGCTCCCAACAAAAGTGAAAAATGCAGAGTTGAAGAAATTTTTCTATGTCATTTGCAGTTTCTTTCTGGCTCACAGTAGGTAAAACTTTCATTTCTCCTCATTTCTACGTGCGCTCAAAAAAAGTCAAAAAAGAAAGCAAAGATCATTACACACATTTTCAATACGGAAAGTGTTGTTTGCTGCTAGTTACTCGTGTCTGATACTTCTGGGCGTCACCACTTCTGTTGTTCCGTAATTCCTTTTACCACTCGAGTTGTGCTTGGCAAACACTTGTGTAATTGTTGTTTTCCTTGTGGTTTGTTTAACCATTTTCGCTGGCTTGATTTCACTTGCTAAGAAAAGTTTCAATTCGGAACTAACAAGCGAAAGTTTAATGAACGATTTCAAGTTTAAAACAAGTTTTCATTACCACACCCCCACCTCCACACCCGTTACCACAGTCCAAGGCAAGAAAGCCTTTTGCTGCCGCCGCAATTGCCATTGCTGCTGTTGCAGCTTCCGCTTTGTCTTGCTGCATTCCTTCATTGTCTGAAAAGTGCTCGGCTTTTTATCTTTATCGGTGCTGTATTATTTCGCTGATTGTTGATGGCGTCGGTTGTTGCTGTTCGACTGTTGTTATTATTGTTTTTGATATCTTTTTGCTCCCTGCCTTTATCGCTTTAATAAATTTCCGCGCTATTTCTTTCGGAGTATTCCTGTTTTTTCGCCTCCAACTTTTCTTTCCCAACTTTCTCCTTTAATTTATTTTCCTTTATTAATTTTGTTCTCTGTTTTTGTAACAGAAGTTTTTCGAAGTGTCTGGGTCCGTTTATCTCTCACCACAACCACGCCGATGTTAAATGCATTGTGTAGAACATAAAGGGTCCTTTTGATTTAAACCAAATCGAAATTAAAAAATTAATTAAGTAGGATTGAAAAAAACAGCAATAAATTTTATTGTTTTATGTACATACGTGTAACAATATGGCAACGCCATTCAACATAGTCATAAAGTTGGAAAGTAGCTGTGTATCAGAGGTCGCTTTCAAGCAACGATATATTGAACTAAAATTGCCAAACAAACTATTCGAAATCTTAACTTTCCTATTCTACGATGCTAAGCACAGTTTTAACTGAATATGTGTGACATATTTACAACAGTACCTATTTATATATAGGTAAATACATATTAACCAAAATCAAAGTCAAAATTACCTGTTTTTCTAAAACGGTTTTTACAACTATAGATTTCATCGTCAGGCTCATAGGTGAAAGGTAGAGAATTTCCAAGCAGAAAAAGTATCGTTAATTGAAAAACTTTGGATAATACTGCTTCAATGCCTAGTCAAGACTCATATTCCACTTCTAGACGAAAATAAGATTTAATCACTACATCACTTTGGGTAAAATCAATATTCATTGATATAATATATGCACGAAACATAACTTAGTCTTCGAAGCTGTCAATATAATAGAACAGAGCGAAAGTCTCCGGGAGAAGAGATTTGAGAGCGATTTGAATATCGCGTAATGAAAAAGGCTACGGAAAAAAGAATGGTATTATTTCATATCGCAGAAAAATCCTCTTCTTTTTCATCCTTTTTCTAGTGTTGTTATTATTTAGTAACACTTCCAAACATTTCATTTTTACCAACAGAGGTCCTTGTTTCACAAGTGTAGCAAAATAGCGAGACTAAATTGTTTGTGAAAATATTAGCACATTATTTTATTACCGAGCAAAAGCTGTAACAACCAGCCAGAGAGCTCATTTTGACTCTGAGGTTAAGGCGACAGCCACTATAGGTAGTCAAAGGTGCTGCCAGCTGTCAACGCCGTGCGTAGATTATGGAGCAATATTTGTTTGCTGCCACATACTAAACCAGAACTTCCTTGCCCAACCAGACATCGCTGCTTCCTACAACCTGAACAGAGTATCAAGTCTCCTGTGACCGAGAAGATTTCAGTTGCATTGCCTTCGCAACCACACTTCCCATGAATGCTGCCACCTACTAGACAGTTCCACTCCCCCCTTTGTTGCGCCTTAAGAAACGCACGTGCATATATGTTGGCATAGGTGTGTGTGTAGTGGTGTGGGTACAGCAGTTCAGCTGCACTGGATGTGCCCCGGCACCTTATTTGAAATAACAAACATGGCCTCAAAGTCATCGCGTTAATGTGTTCTGAAGTGCATGGCAACGGCGAGGCCATGACTGGGAAACGAAAGTGACAGCAGAGAGATAGAGAGAGGGAATTATAGTATACTCTTCCGATTCTTCTCCGAAAGTCCCATCATATGAGACATACACGAGGATGCATATATCCTGCCGCAGGACCTTACAATATTTACTTTCATTGGTTCTGCTTGACTGCATCGCAACCAAGGATAACAGAGTGTGTTCCTATGCATACACATCTATATATATGTGTGTGCGTACATGTATGCATGCATAGGAAGTGTGCGTAAAGCAGTCAACGCAAGCGAGAGGGAACAGGAGCGCATTAACGAAGTCACAGGCGACAAGTGGGCGCTACCTTAAATCTGCAACCATCAGCCCCTGTATTTCAACTCAAGCCAATACTGGATGGGCAAATGTACATTTTCTGCTGTATCTAAATATGTGGCGGTATGGCATAGTTCCCCAGTGGATCTCCGTTACACCCATTGACTTGTATTCATTAGCCTTTGTCTAAATACATACATACATACACACGTGATTTAGGTGCCTGCCTATACCATTTGTGCCTTGTTTAATTTTCTGGCTGCATAATTTCATTGTGTGCCTAATCGCCTATCTTCCGCTGTCTCTTTCCAACTTGCTGTCATTATGCTTCCATCACGCCCTTTCTCTCTCTATCTGCAACTGTGCCACCTTCACTGCTCGACCATCTATCAAACGCTCATAATGAAGTCCCTTCACACACTCGCACATACTCTCTCGCAAAGAGATTGCAGACACATGTAAAAATGCCGCACTCAGCTTTCTGTTTAGACGCATCTCTTCCCACTTGTTACTAACAGGCGTAGTTCAGCGAGCGTCAGCGTAATTTATATGACCCATAAACGATGCATTAATTGACTTTTGTTGGTAAGAATCATTTGCTTAAAGCAGGGAGCAGCTATGCAAGGGTCGAGGTCGAATTAGTTCAAATCGAGAACGTTTGTAAATCGCAAATTATTTGCACAGCTGGAGGCTGAATGCATAACATACCAATCCATAAGCATATC